GTCATCTTATACGCCGGCAAATACGGTATATAAAATGTTTTATAGATGGCATAATCCACCATCTAAGTTGGCTAAAATGTACCCAAATCTATCCCCTACATGTTGGAAGTGTAATAAGGAAAATGGAATGTATTATCATCTATGGTGGAACTGTAAGAAAGCCCAAATGTTCTGGCAGAAAATCCAGAAATGGTTAGAAGAGATGTGCGAAATTAAAATATAATATAGATCCGAATTTTTCTTGTTGGGAATTAATGTGGGGAAATATGACAAAGATATAATGTATTCAATAATCCATGTAATCACAGCTGCAAGATTAGTTTATGCCCAAAAATAGAAATGTAAAGAAACTCCAGGTGAAATAGAAATAATTAGGAAAATTTGGTTCTGCGCCAAAATGGATAAATTGACGCAAGAATTAAAAAATAAGGATGATTCTGATTACTACAAAATGTGGAGAAAGTTTTATCATGGGTTGGAAACCAGGAAAGATAAAAAAATATAAACAAGGATTAATGTTTATATAATATATTATATACTATGTATATAAAATGTAAAGATGTATTATTCTTTATAAGACAACTAAGGTGTGGTACACCAAGACCATTGTTTTTTTCTTTTTGTGTGTGTTTGTTCAATAAAAAAAATAAAAAAAAATTGTACAGGGTTGCCCCCAATTACATGGAACGCTCTTTGCACTTATCCTTCATATTTGAACATGTGAAAAGGTCTTTTAGGAGGTGTATCAAGCAGAAACAAGTTTTCTATCTTTATGTATAGGGGTATCTCCACTCCTCATCCCAGGGTAGAGGGAGAAAAAATGTATAGTGGTCTGTTTCTCAGAACTGATAAGCAGCATAAGGCTTTTTTCAGATGTCCACCAAGAGAAATGCATCTGAATATATCTGGTAGATGACCATGAAAATAATCCTGCCAGCACCAAAGAGAACTGGATTTTATAACTAGCACCTTCTTTAACTCCACTAATGAGTTGTGTTACAGACTGAAGGAGTTATATAAAAACTTATGATTCAGAGTTTGAAATAACAGTTGATTACAAATGGAATACAAGTTAAAACAATAGGCAACAGCATAGAAATTCAGTAATAAACGAACGGCAAAAGCAATTTTTGGCTTCATCTACAGAAACACAGTTCCCAACCATATCAAAAGAAATGCAGTTCCATTCTATCCTGCCTCAAATACTGCATTTAATTCTGTTTATTGCAGAAAAGTGTCTCTAGCACACTTCAGAGCCTCTGGGATCACCACTATATGTTCTCTGCCTAAAGCTCTGGTTGGTGTAAAGCACAACTCTCAAGTCTTGACCCAAGTCTCAATAATGCAAGGTAGGTCTGCCCATGATGAGACAGACCTGGTATTCAAGACTAGAAGCTGTAGCAGAACTTCCAGTTTGTTCCTCGTCGGTGTCGTTGCGGAATCGTGTGCAGTTTTGCCTGAGCTCACTTGCTGGAGGGTCCCAATCGGAACCGGAGCCACCCTGGTGGGTTGGTGAAGGGAGAAATTGCTGAGAGGGTCGAGGGGAGCCGCAATTCCCCTCCCTGACAGGAAAATCCCTCCCAAAGGCAAGCTGTAGCGGTGGTTCTAAAATGGCCACCATGAAGATAAAGAACACTCCGGGAAACTAAGTTTTGTGCTGGAGAGAGAAGTAGCGAGCAGAGTGTGAACCAGGCAAAGGACATCGCTTTTGAGGTACCCCAGTATCAAATTAAAGGGCTATTTTGGAGGAAAGTGTGTGGAAGTGGCCACCACAGAAAATGAGAAAGAAATTGGTTTTTAAATTTGGATTTGATTATTCTATTGGACTAATTTGGAGGAGAAATTTAAAGAAAAATACATTAACACAACAAAGGTTTAAAAATTAAACTGGACAGATATTGAACTGTGAGCACTTAAAGGGCATAACTAAATGCTGGAATTGGGTGTATTGAAAAGAATAGCTAATGATTGAAATTAGCGAACTTAATAAAAAATTTATATTCAACAAAGAAAGTTAAAACGAAAAAGACTCAAGAGTGCCACCTGATGGTACAGGAAAACTTTAGTATGTTTTAAAACGAGTGTCTGGTCTTTTTGAGAGTTTGGACTTGGAACTGGAAAGAAAATAAAAGGAACTTTATTACTGCCAGTAATTTGAGAAACAGTTGGGGGGCCAATTAGAGGATTCGGAATAAAGACTCAAGAGTATGAATTGTTGAAAATAAACTCAAAAGATATTGGCTGAAATAATATACTGGACTCTGGGATTGAATATATCTACTAAAGAAGAGGATTTCAGCTGTTAAGGAAGAGGAAAGAAAAAGAAAAAAGGAGAAGATATAATGGAGGAGCTACTTGTTGATATAAGACTGGACTCACAAGATATAAGATCGGATATGCAAGATACAAGGAACATGATAAAAATCAAACTTGAAATGTGTAATTATGTACTACAGAAATTAGAAATGGTGACTCAGCATACACAAGAACATAATAAACCAGAGGAGGAGGAGTTTTATGAAGAAGAAGCCAACTTAGAAGGACAAAATGAACAACAATTATCTAAGCAGGGGGGAAAAGAATTAGAATTAAAAATTTGTGGTCTGATGGGATGATAAAAGGGAGAATGATTCAGAAAATGGTTAAAGAGGAAAAGGGTTAAAGGAAAAAGCAGAAAAAGTAAGTGCAAAAGAAAAATCAAAAGAGGGAGAGAGAAAAGTTTAATAACTGGAACGAGAAAAGGAGAATAAGAATGGGGAAAAGGGGAATTAAGAGAAAGGACCAGAAAATAAAGAGGAACAGGAAACAAACAAGGATGAAAAGAAGGTACACTGTTCAAAGAGTGAGAGATAATGGGTGAAAAAAGGGATTAGGAAGGGGATTCCGCAAGGCAATACGTTGGGATGTATAAGAATGTATTGAAAATAGCATTTTGTAATGTATAGATGATTTATAGAGAAAATATAATGCAGAATCTGAGAAATATATATATATATTGTGGTAATATAACCTATTGATCATTTTATCATTTTCTGTAAGGCCT